GATCCCTAGGACTAACAGCGATATTATTCAGCAGCCTAAGCCGGTGCCAATTGGCCAGTTCCAGGGTCCTGGAAGAGGCAGGGTGCAATGGAATCTGGGCTCTGAAGGATAGAAGAGTCGGGTCTTGAGTCATCGGCTGGTCGGGGTCAGAGAGATGATGTGATGGATGCTGCGTACCCTTGAATTACTGGAGGGTGGTTGGACTTGTTGGTTAGAGTTATTCTTATTGCGCGAATGTTATCATCTTGAGTTTGAGTGTGGTTCTACCGATCTAGCTTGCTCGAGTGCTAGCTGTGACTCACCAGCAGCGTGCCTTGATCAAGACCGTGGAACTAACGAGTTCGTATCACTTGCTGTAACTACTGCTAGTATAATTTAACTCAGCATGAACAGTCACTCTGTCCATGACTGAATCCTGATGTACGCAATGAACTTAAAGCTGCACTAATACCTTAATGATAACTCACCAGCCTGTGAAAGACATGATTTCCTTTATCAGTGAAAGAAGCGTAATTTCATGCATACGCAATAAAACGAATTGAGCGTACCATGGTCGATGAAGTTGGGGAAAGGGAGTGATGAGTCGCAACACCCTATTAGCGCGAAATCTTGGCGGCGCACCGCACACATTGAATTGCCCCACCGGCCGCCGCCACTTCTCACTTTCTGTATCATAAGGGACCCCGACTACCTACCGACCCGACACCCCCAACAACACAACCACAACCGCAAATATGTCCAAAACAGCAGGGTGAGTTTATGCGCACCTTTTTCGGCCTTTCTACGCCTATCATCCTCCCATGTCGCCCCTACGTCGCTCCAAGCCGCACATCAAGCCACGAGCTTCTGCATACATCTCTCCGGGTTCTAGAGCATCAGGCTGACAGTACTGCTATAGCCGCACCGACTGGGCAGAAGAAGAAGACGATGAGTCCTCCCTCACCTCCCTCCCACCCCAACAAGTCATCAAGAACAAAGACGGAACCGAAACCGTAATCTCCTACCGCATCGGCGAAGACGGCAAGAAATACAAGACAACACGGCGCATCAAGAAGACTGTCGTAAAGCAAATCGTAAACCCCCGCGTCGCCGAACGAAAGCAATGGGCGAAATTCGGACAAGAAAAGGGCAAGCCCGCCGGCCCCCAAACAGACACCGTCTCCGTCGCCGAGAACATCGCCTTCCGCCCCGTCTCCAACTGGAAAGCCAGCAACGAAGATAAGGGCGACGAAGCGAAGAAGAAGGCCGAGCTCAAGAACGCAAAGATCAAGTGCCGTATTTGCCAGGGCGACCATTTCACCACAAAATGTCCCTTCAAAGACACCATGGCCCCCGAAGGCGACGTCGCCCCCGCAGAAATGCCCGACGACGCGCCCGGCGGTGCAGGAGGCAGTCTGGGTACCGGCTCTGGGGGCTACGTCCCCCCTCATCTGCGTGGCCGTGCGGGCGCAGGCGAGAAGATGGGCGGCAAATTCGACCGCGACGACAGCGCTACCCTGCGTGTTACCAACGTGTCTGAGTTCGCCGAGGAACAGGATCTGCGCGACATGTTCTCCAAGTACGGACATGTTACCCGTGTTTTCCTGGCCAAGGACCGCGAGACGGGTCGCGCCAAGGGCTTTGCGTTTGTTAGTTATGCGGATCGGAGTGATGCGGCCAAGGCGTGTGAGAAGATGGATGGATGTAAGTTTCAGCACGCAGAGCTTGTGATATGGGGAGATGCTAACTTTATTCAGTCGGTTTCGGGCATCTTATCCTGCGTGTCGAGTTCGCTAAGAAGGCTTAAGCGGAGAGGATTTGTGCATGGCTCAATGATCGTTGCAATTTGGCGTTCAGGGTGGTTTCACGGGCTATGACATCTGTAGACGTGTGTCTTGCATGCATGGTACATGATAGCTATCGTTTGTGACTTCATACGTCAGACGAAGCGAATTCTCATGAATATCAAATGATAGAGTGCTCGCTTTCAACTCAATCTCTCATGTTGCCCACCACTAAGCCACATCAGCAGGTAGTAAAGACAAACTAACAAGCACGTACACTGGCCCCTTCCACTTTAACGCGTTTATTCAAATATATCATTAACTTGATTCTCCATTCCATCACTTTCATCTCTACATACACATATACACGTACACAGCACAACCGCCCAGATTGTCCACTAAGAAAGTCGGGCCGCTGTTCCAAATCCAACCCAGAGCCAACACCTAGACCTTTTTCTAAGAGACCCTACGTAAAAAGGATCTTATATCCTCCCGTATCATGAACGCCAGCTTTATTGTACAAGGTGGGCAGGGCCCGCAGAGTGGTGAGGAGGAGGGTCATGCGCTAAGATCGACTCGTGTAAATGCGGGACAAACGTCGAACTGCAGTGGAAGGTGAGAAAGAAGATTGCTGCGCCTGGTTTCGCGGTTGGGGCTCGTCAGGGTAGCGGTAGAATGGTATGTATTTGCTGTGCGCAATTCCTTTTATCTGTGCTTTAGTCGACTTGTTTTAGGTCGGGCTCGAAGAAGACTTTTCGTGTTATCTGGTGGGCTGTTAGCTTTCATCGTGAACATACCAAGAGTCGATTGAACGTACCGCCCATCCTCCCGCTACAGTCGCGCAGATACCCGAGCTAATAGCCATCTGCCTCGTCCCTCTTGTGCTCTTGAACAGCGCGCCGCTCAATGCGCCCGCCACGACGCTGTTGCTCATATCGTGCTTGCCGCGGTAGTACCCAATCGTGCTGTTCATACCATTGTACACCATAGCAATCACGCCCGCGCTGTTTCCCAGAAAAGGACCTCGCCGTGTTATCGCATTGAGCACGCCGTTGATGCGCAACCGCGGGGGCATGCTGGGTGGGTTCTTTTGCAGGCCCTCGGCTAGTCCCCACGCTCCTCCTATCGTCAGCGCCGTCAGATACGACACGCCCGTGCCGTAACATAAGTCGTCGGACCAGCCGCGTGAGGGCAGAGCGGATTGTGCGCCGGGCAGGTCCGAGAGGACGCTGTCTTCGAGGTTTAGGTAGTCGAGCGTGTCTTGGTTGAGGCCGGCGAGGGGATGCAGTTGTGAGGGGTCGAGCAGGAATTCTGAGGGGTTTTGGATGGCCGTGTTGGGGTCGAAGGGTGTGGGTTGGAAGCTGTCTTCTTTTACGAAGTCGGCATTTTGGGGCGAGGCGGGCGCGGGTGCGGTCTCCTTGGACTTGCGTCCGGTTATGGAGTCCCAGCTAGCATTGGATTAGCATTGATGTGACTGAGAAGACGCAGGATATTAGAGTTTATACATACATGGTCATGTTGAAGATGTCAGGTTGTGATGGCGGCGTAAAGAAATGTTGCGCCTGATTGTCAACAGCCGCACGAACAAAATCCCCCAGACGCCCGAAAAACCTCTATCAGACCGGCGCAGCTAAGAGAAACAGCAGAAAGAGGCAAGTGGTAGATGCGCGGGTATGGGATAGCGTGGGGCGGCGTTCGTGATGCTCACGAAAAGTTCTGGCGAAGCAACTTGGGCAATGACGGTCTCAACGCACGGCCCACCTTCTCGAAGCCTCCCTGCTTCCGAGCTCGGAAAGGAACGAGATCGGAAAGAAAAGTTCAGACAGCCTCACCCACTTCGGGATAACGACAGACAATAACGATTCCAACCATGGCGCTCCCCGAATACAAGCAAAACTTCCTCAAAGACTGCGTCTCAGCCGGCGCATTGAAATTTGGCACCTTCACCCTCAAGTCCAAGCGCATATCACCCTACTTCTTCAATGCCGGCCTCTTCCACCGCGCCGACCTGCTCCGCTCCATCTCCTCAGCCTACGCACACACACTCAAGAACCACGGCGACTCCGACTCTTCGTTTCAATGGGACATTCTCTTCGGCCCAGCCTACAAGGGCATTCCCCTCGCAGCAGCCTCAGTCGACAAGCTCGCAGATCTGGACATGGCCAAGTACGGACAGAAAAGCTACAGTTTCAACCGCAAGGAAGCGAAAGATCATGGTGAAGGAGGCAACATCGTGGGCGCGAGTCTGAAGGGGAAGAAGATTGTTATTGTGGATGATGTCATTACGGCTGGTACGGCGATTAGAGAGGCTATTGATATTATCAAGAGGGAAGGGGGTGAGCTTGTGGGCATCATCGTCGCTTTCGATAGGCGGGAGAAGATGCCGACAGCGACTGATGACGATGGAAAGCCCGGTCCCAGTGCGATTGGAGAGGTTAGGAAACAGTACGGTATTCCTGTGCTGGCCATCTTGACGCTGGATGATGTTGTGGAGTATTTGAGGAGTTTGGGTGGAGAGGAGGATCTTAAGAGGTTGGATGAGTACCGGGAGAAGTACAAGGCGAGTGATTAAGCGTATCTGGTGGGGCGTTTACGAAGTTGTGATTATGGGAGTATGGGTGATGGGAATGGGCGGTTGCTAGAATACCCCGCATGCGTTGCGGTCAATGCTGCAAGCATTTCAAGCCCACATGTTCTTCTTGACTCCGTGAGACTGTGAAGCGATCCTCATAACAATCAACGGCTGTGTCATTGGGGTGAGATGCTACATCAAAGAAAACATACTGATTATTGTTATACTTCTATGATACAGATACAGAAAGACAAACGCGTTCAACAGAGTGTGGGTATCCTCTATCATCGCTCCTGGCTAAACGAACAAGATGCATAGTCACCTCGATGCGTATCCGGATCCAATTCGAGAGATCTGACGGGCAAGAATCGTCTGAATCGGAACCGTCTGAATCAGAAGAGCACTCCATCACAAGATCAAGCTGGACAGCTGGCCTGACTCCAACGTACCTGCTCCGCAAAACTCGTCTCTTTGATGGCCTATTATCTTTCTTATGTTTTGCGTCCCGAGAATTGACTCCGCTGGCTTCCTCTCCCTGTATTCATCGTCGCTGGAACCGGCTTCGCTGGGATCGAAAACAACGGGCTTGTCTTTGTCGTCTTCGTCGTCTTCGTCCGAGCTGATGCCGTTTGCACTTGAATGGCTTCGACAGGATGTTTGACAGATTAATCCGTAGTAGAGACTGCGGCAGTAGAGACTTGCGCAGTAGAGTCATGTTCGCCAGCATCGTCCGCGTTGACATCGTCTTCGCTAGCGTCGTCTGCGCTTGAGTCCTCTTCGCTGAGGTCGTCTTCGCCAGCATCGTCTTGACTAGCATCGCTTGCGCCAGTATCATCGTCGCTATCGCTATATTCTGATTCATCAGGATAGAAGCCGGGCGGAGTGTTGAGCGCAGGATGAGCATAATTCTTGGGGTCATAATCTGGCTCATTCTCGATAAGGTAATGGCGTTCCGAAAATGCGATCCACGGATCCTAAATACCGGTTAAAGCATTAGCTATCGACTTGCGTTTTCAAGGGTTGATCGCATGGTTCGAGGACTCATTTATAGGTCATCATCGGGAGGTCAAATAAGCACTTACCTCGTGATATTCCTTGAGGATATAGTCATCCAGACTGTCCAGATACTCTCTCGCATCTTGCCTCCACTGTTCACTTCCACTCGTATCTCTGAGCACCTCGGTGAGGTCAAACTCTATGTCGTCGTACCTGTTAAACGGATGCCCCCATTTGAAACGCAAATGCCCTCCTTCGCGTTCATATGCCTGGAGAACAGGTCTCAGGAGTTCGATCCACGGGACCCACAAGTTTAACCTGACCTCCTGTTGAACCAATTCGATATGGAGACTGAAATTCCTCTTCTTCCTGATACTCATCAGGGTCTTGACAAGCGTCTCGCCTTCTGCAACGATGTCTGTATTGGATTCCCAAAGACAAACATACAGTGACTGCAAAACATCTGCGGGAATAAGTCCAACATCCCAAATATCTTGACAGACGACTCGTTCCGTTGATGCTATGGTGATATATTCAACTGGACCAAAGCCATCAATGTCGGGATAGCTGCCAGAATCGCTACGGTCGGGTTGTACCTCGTACCACTTCACCATAACTTCGTGGGCTATTTTCAAACCCATGAAGCGGCTTTGAATGAAGTGCGGTAACTCTGGTACGTCGCTGCGGCAAGACTCAGGGTTGAGACGGTATTGCATCGACTCTTCATGATACTTGAATGCTTTGTTATCCCAAATATAGTCGAAGATCATCGCTCTCAGTTCGGTCGGTAGACGGGTCTCTATCTCACGAGCGAATTGGAGATTCCATAATTCGCTGTATTTCGTGACAGCGGCCGGCCATTCTCTAAAGCAAACTTAGTGATTAGTCTACGCAGTTTTTGTTTCGTACAAGGAGAGAAACTCACTCTCTGAGGATTTTCGTTTGCTGTTTGGCGGTACGCCTCTTTGGGGCCTCGAGTTTGCTGCGAATGCTGTACGTATGTCAGTCTCTGCGGTTTCCTTTACGTAGGTGGTCTTACTCCACGAGGGTCTGGTACGCGGCCTGGACATCGTCCTGCTGGACCGGCGGGGAATTGGCAGAATGAATAGGGGCCGCCTTTGGCTTAGACTTCGGTTTGGTCCTTCGGGCCATAGCTGGCAAACAAAGAAATGGTAATCGAAGTGTTCACGTCTCTATGCGTGCTGTGCAAACCCGCGGGAGTGTTTAGGTGTAAAGTGCGAGTGTCACAAAGTTGGCGAGGGGATGCACGACGCGTCGCTAGCGCGTCTCAAAACGATTAAACACGCGTGTCCCTTACTTCCCCATGCCAAGCAACCCGCTTGCCGCGTACCGATTGCAGACTTCAACCGGCAGCTACGTGCAGACATTCTTTGCCCATACACCGATACTACTCGACGCCCAAGGCGCAAACGCTAGCAACAGAGACCAGCCTAGCGAAGATATGAGAGCAGCGGCGCTTGCGGGCCGCAGACCATTCTCCGTCGGCGGCACAGTGCAGATGTGGGGCAGCATGCGCTGGAAACCCTACTTAGGTAAGGCAAGGCAGACACCTGCAATAGAGATCAGCGTATCGGAAACAATACACAGTGGAGCAGTGACGCTGTTACATTGAGATGAGAAGCTGAAAGGATCTTTAAGTTTCGGAGACTTCTTTTAGGCACCCAAATTGTGACAAGAAGACGAGGTTCAAGGGCATGTCCAAGAGCGCTTTTCTGTCTCCATTATCCCTCGTTCTGTACTCTACTCATTCAGTGAACGACACAAACACAACCGCGAACTCGACATGCATCACCTCCGTGATGCTCTACTGGGCGCCTCACCGGAGGGCCCTCCCGAACTCAACTACCTAGACAATGTGGCTCATGACGTCCTAATGGTTCGCGAAGACGTGGCGCGTGGGGAACTTGACGGACTCCGCGGAACAGCCTTCTATAATCGAACCGGGGTTGTCAGTGAGCGATACTGCAGCTTAGGAGATGGTATAGACTCTCTTGTGCACCACATCCACTCTGCGTGGCACATGTATTACCAAGTTGCTTTGCACACGGCGTATGATACGCGCGAACAGGACCGCTTAGTCCTCGATATCGTGAGAATCCAGGGATTGGGGCCGTTGACCAGGCCCGCTACTGGGCACTACGGTATCGACATCGCGCGAACAGTAGATGGAACGGTGTGGAACGGTTAGTAATATCTCCGTACAAAATGTATGTGAGACAAACACTGACATTGTACACCAAACTTTAGATCTACCCTTTCTAGCCACTGACATGACCGCATTCTGGATCGAGAACTGCGCGGCCTTGAAGAACGCCCAGCGACTTAACCTCGCATCCTTCCTAGCTAAGCTGGCGTCGACTCGCATTAGCAAAGATCGAATCTGTCAGATCGCTCTTCTACTATTCTGCTCTACTTTTGAGGGAAGAAGCAGCATCGAGGGAGGGCAGCCAGACGAACTTTCCACACACCAGACGATCTCGACTCTCGATCTGACGCAGCTCATGCCGTCTGTGTGTGCGTGGATCAAAGAGGCTGGCCACGTTCTTGTCCAACTCTCTGAACTCTCATGGAATGACTGCCCTAGCCATATCGGGCAGGGTGGGCAACACTTCCTTGAATCCGACTTCGGGAAGCGGTCACCGACTGGTTTCACCCCGTGGAGATGGATGTATTGGCTCAAACGACTTCATGAAATTCGTCAAGAGGCGAAAGAGGCAGATGAGAAGACTCTAGAGGAGCAGACCAGTGAAGCTATTGACCGCATGGTCAGCCAAGTACACGATCGTAACTCGGGGATTCTCAGGGCATATCAAGATGGCGGGGACTTCTTGAAGCTGGACGATCATTTGGCGTGTTTGAGGGGTAGATAGATCGAATGCAGGCTATGCAGTTATGACAAACAATTCTGTACACGTCCGTGCTAATGTGGGAGTAGTACAGTTGAAAAGAAGCCGGAAACCCAATATGCGCCTAAACAGCCCCACGCGCATGGATAACACGGAGGATAGGTAGGGGACGGTCCGCGTAACCCACATCGGGCCAAAAGTGCTACATGAAGGCGCATGTTGCGCGGCAATCTCGTGCTAAGCACCTAACATATGGCGCGGCAATCTTGCCCGGGTGTGCTAGACACATGCAGTGTGGTAGGTAACTTTGTGCTAGGCGCGGCGCAGCAACCTTATACTAGGAAGGCATAGGCAACACCGCAACCTTTATTTAGGGCCATGCGGCGTGGTAACTTTGTTTGAAGTGCATGCGGCGCAGTGACCTTGTACTGGATACATGCGGCATGGCAGCCTTGACGATTACGATGATCCCTCGAGACAGTGAACGATCTTTGGCCTCTGGCTGGAACGCCACTGGAGAGCTTGTGCTCACTTTTAGAATCCTTCAGATAGAATATACTACATCAGTTGTTTTGCTGTTCCCTCTCCGTTGTCCGCTAAAGGTATGAAAAGACGACGTCAGCTGCCTAGACATCACCTGGGCAAGCAGAAACGGATATGTATCATGGCAAGCAAAATTGGAAAACGAATGTATTGTAGTAAGTTACGAGTATAGAAGGGGTGCTGCCTTCAAAAAGAGCGTCCTTTCTCATGCCTCCCGAGCTCCACTGAAAGCCATAGCCTGTCAAGTATTGCGAATCGCTCACTGGGGACTACCACCAACCATGCGCTTTCTATCTGCATTCCAAGACCCCGTCATCGGAAGACTCCCGGCAAACTGCAATTCCATATCAATGCCCATTTCAACACATGTCGCGTAGAGAAACACTTACTTCTCGTAAGAATATAGCCCTCTCGATAGAACTTGCACGAATCGCCAAGCCTGTGCCTGCAATTGTTGGGGCAGTTGCATGCACTGATGGCATCGGGGGCAATGCGGACGTCTCTAGTCTCGTTGAGAACTGCCTTCACTTCGGTGTTGGTTGTTGCTGAAGGGGCAGCCATAGCGTGTGCGGCAAAGAGGGCCACAGCGGTGGTAGCAAGGAGGGTCTTGAAGAACATGTTGAGATTGGCTGATGATGGAACTGAGTTCAGATTTTGCTGTTGGTGGTAGATGGTTGGAATGATAATGTTTGCGGTGGGGAAATGTGAAAGAGAATGCGTCTCATTATATGCTTTCGAATTCCAAATACCAACTGCTTTCCCAACACCTGAGAAGGGTTCGGCTGTAGGCTCTCAGGCCAGTAGATGTGTACCGCCGGTCCCTCCGTTGGTGGAAGGACGACTAAGACTCCACTGACCGACCGGCCCGTTCCTACTCGCATGCTGATGCATCATCCTGATCCTTCATAAACTATCTTGATCCTTCGTTTCGCTTCTTCAGGCATCACATGTTGCTTTGGGGGGCGAAAGCGCCTGTTCCAAGTTCACATAGGAACTTGCACCGCCGATGCTGACCTGGATCTAGCTTAGTGACGGTGTTGTCTTCGTAACGCTGTCATGTCTTGTGGCGGCGTAGTCTTCCCAACAATCCCGATGTTACTGTACTTGAATCTTAGAGCCGGACCGAATCGTTACAAGCAAAGATCTGCCATACTCTGTACGATGCAACACCTTACCACAGATCCAAATGCCACAACAGACTCTCGGAACTCTTGCTTTCCAAGCGTCGGTCCCATTTCCGGACACATTCACAAATGTACCATACTCCGTGCAGCCTACACACCATCATGACTGCAACCCAAGTTGTCCCACATGGACTTGCATGGAGGCATTTGATGCTGATCTTCTTTATGTTCGGCTGAGCTACGCCTCACGACATGTCTTATGAAGCTTCGCACAGCAATAACGACAAAGTCTATTGACGCCTAGGCAACAAATGCTGCAGCATCAACCCGTTTCCTGGAACGACTCAGGTAACCAGTAGGCGGTGTCAAGACCCGAGGGTGCTGTATTGACATCAGCTAACCATCAACCTCTTATTCTCATCACTTGAACGTACCACATGCCCATCTGCCTAGAAGTGTGCTTCTTGTTACATTCGTCTTTGCACCATGGACTCACCCGGCAGAGCAAACACGCCGGCAGCGAGGAGCTTTAGTGATGAGCTAAATGAGGGCTCGAGCTGGCACTCATCCAGTACATCGAGTGAGGATAGCATGTCTCCGGTCACACCATCTCTCCGTGAAAGATGGAGAGCCTGGAGAGTTTCGGTAGCCTGGCGCCGACTGCCACTACCGAGGTTAATGAATTCGACTCGTAGGAAAGGAAGGGGTAGATGGCCATGGTGGAAGTACCTCCTGATCGTTGTTGGAGTATTGTTGGTCTTCGGTATCATCGTAGGAGCGTGAGTGGTCCTATTCGCCTTCTTATGAATCTGACTGACTCGAATCAGTGTGTATATATACCTCATCACCGCCATCATCCATAAGTTTACTCCTCCACCAAACTACAGCGGTCTTCAACACATCGTCGAGAACTGGAGGGCACCGGATACCTACGGTGCCCATGAAGCTGTCTGGCGAGACGACTTCAGCCGCGACATCGTGCCCAAGAAGTGCCATTCACACAATGACTACTGGCGATCTGTACCGCTCTTTAGCGCACTTGCAGCGGGTTGTACAAGCGTAGAAGCAGACGTGTGGCTGGCGGAGGACGGAGCGCTTCTTGTGAGCCACTCATGGGAATCGACTACGCCACCGCGGACATTGAAAAGTCTTTATCTGGACCCGTTAACGTGGATCTTGACGAAGCGTAATGTCTCCCAGGCATCTGTATACCACAGAGAAATTGGGGTTTTCGACGCAGACTCAGACGCTTCTGTCGTTCTTTTAGTCGACTTCAAGAACGATGCGTATGCAATCTGGAATGCGCTCCTGGCACAGCTAGAACCTCTTCGGGATAGAAACTGGGTCACGTACTACGACGGCGAGAAGGTGCATCATGGTCCGCTCACTATCGTCGGCACAGGCAATATCGCCCTGGAGTCTGTCCTATTGAACCACACCAATCGCTTCGTCTTCTTCGATGCGCCGCTTCTGTCTATTGCCACCGGCAACACTACTTTCAACAATACAAACTCGTACTACGCCAGTGTCAGTCTCAAAGATGCAATTGGTAAAATTTGGTTCAACCAACTGAGCGCAGAGCAAGAGAAGATCCTGAAAACCCAGATCGAGATGGTGCAGGAGACGGGATTAATGAGCAGATATTGGGATACTCCTGGTTGGCCGATTAGTCTGAGAGACATGCTGTGGTTTAAGCTCACCGAATTTGGCGTCGGAGTGCTCAATGTAGATGACTTGGTGTCGGCAACGAAGTGGAATTGGCATCAGTGCGTCGTCGCTGGCATGACCCTCTGCTGACGTCACGTGCCAAAGAGCCGTTTCGGGACAAGCTCATGACGCACAGAGCCCATGCAGAGAGAACACCTCTGTGTCACCGCACCAGCATCAGCAGCCAACTTCCTCGCCCTTATTAGCATGCAGAAAAAAATGAACTTACATGGAAATGTACACTCTTGGTCGATTGAATGCAATGGCGACAGCTCTGCAAGCAGGGCAAGGAGATGCACGGACACGTATGCACCAACGCGTCTCTAGCGCGCCGGCACAACTGAACACATGCGCTTCACGGCGAAGAGTACACCGTCGCTTGTACGCACCTTCATATATTTCGCCGACACGTGCTATAGTCGCTTCTGGCGCTACGGTTACCGGAAGTGCTTCGACCTGTACTTTCTGTTTGATCGGCAATGGAGCTTGCCTTGGCAGATGGGTCACTTCCGTTACATCCCTCCACACTGGAGAGGTGTCCTTGCGCCGGCTTCACCATGGCGGTTTCATGAACAACACACTTTTTGGTGGCATCACCACACCCGGCATCATTTCCCTCATCATTGCATGATACCTTAATCCGACTACATCGCATAACCTCCCATTCAGGCCACCCACTTGGTGCTGGCTGCTTACTTCTCACGACATCATTTCTCCCATTGTACATTCGATGAGAGACTACAGGTCTACGCGTTTATCTCACAATGCGTAGGATTAAAGTGCCCCGCGGGGTGCCATACCAGCGGCCAATGTCGAGACAACATAAGCGCACCCTTATATATGCGCTTCTTTCGGCCGTCGCGTTCGGCGGGTATTACTGGCTCTACGCGCAGCCCACCGATGCGCTCGCTGTCGCATTCGAAGAGCACGAAGCGTATATGCACGACGGATCGAGTCTCGCGCGCATCAAATCCGAGCAGTCATATGATTGGCGAGAAGCGCCTTTTGTGAACACGATCACGTCCTACATACCGCTGCCGACTACCGCTCCTCGTAAACTCCCGCGCGTCCAGTCCGAAGACTTCCCCGAAACAAGCGCGCAAAGAAAACAGAGGGAACAATGTAGAGTCGCCGTGCGAGACGAATTCAGGCATAGCTGGAATAATTACAAGAAGTTTGCGTGGGCACAGGATGAGCTTAAGCCAATTACTGGTGAGGGCGAGGAGTCGTTCGGCGGCTGGGGTGCCACACTCGTCGATTCGTTAGACACGTTGTGGATAATGGGACTCAAAGAAGAGTTTGAAGAGGCCGTGGAGGCCGTCGCGGCCATAGATTTTGGCAAGACCAATCTGACCACCGTGAGCGTCTTCGAAACGACTATCAGATACCTCGGCGGCCTGCTGAGCGCATACGACATGAGCGGGAAGCCTATCTTGCTTAAGAAGGCGATACAACTTGGGGAGATGCTGTATCGAGCGTTCGACACAACGAATAATACACCCCTGGGCTGGCTAAATGTGGAGGGTGTCAAGAAGGTACCCAGGCTGGCCTTCTCCGCCGAGAGCAACATTTGCTTTGCCTGTCTCGGCAGCTTAACCATGGAGTTCACGCGGCTGGCGCAGGTCACGTCAGAGCCAAAGTACTACGACGCTGTTGCGAGAATCACCATAATGATGGATCGTGCGCAGGATAGCACAAGGCTTCCTGGCCTATGGCCGACCATGGTAAATGCAGCGAAAGAAGAATTCAATCAATCTCGCTTCTTTTCCATCGGCGCGCTTGCGGACAGCACGTACGAATACTTTCCGAAGATGCATGCGTTGCTGGGTGGAGTGGAACCGGCGTATGAGAAGTTGTACCGCGACTCTGCGGAGATGATTGATGCATACATGCTGTTCCGCCCCATGGTGCCTGACAAGTTCCACGGAGAAGACCTACTCCTGTGCGGCGATGTCTTCACACACGGTGAAGAAGCCAAACTCGACCCAACCATGCAACATCTTACGTGCTTCATTGGCGGCATGTTCGGTCTGGCAGGTCGCCTATTCTCTGATCCTGACCACGTGGATCTCGGCGCGAAGCTTACCAAGGGATGTATATACGCCTACGCCGCCACGCAAACTGGTATCATGCCCGAGACATTCGATATGGTCCCCTGCGACTCCCGGAAAACCTGTCCGTGGAACCAAACAGCTTGGGAAGAGGGTGCGCTGTATCACTATAGCAGCAAATATGTCGAAAGTTTCAACGATGCAGTGGAAAAGTACAAAATCCCACCTGGCTTCACCAACATCCGCGACAAGCGGTATCTGCTCAGACCCGAAGCCATCGAGTCCGTCTTCATCATGTACCGCATCACTGGTGACCGGCAGTATCTCGATGACGCGTGGGACATGTTCACCAGCATTGTTGCCGCAACTCGAACGCCCTATGCCAACGGACAGGTCAGAGACGTCACATTCGTAGCGCCAAAAGCTCCAGGCCGGGCCTATAAATCCGTTCCTGGTGTGGGCGACGTACCTTATACACGCGACGACAATATTGAAAACAAGATGGAGAGTTTCTGGACGGCGGAGACATTGAAGTATTTCTACCTCATCTTCAGCACGCCCGACATGATTAGCTTAGACGACTGGGTGTTCAACACTGAGGCACATCCATTCCGGCGGCCGAAGCCGAGATAGGAGAAGGTTGAGGATGATGCTGGGGCTAGGGCTAGGGTTGATGAACAGCGTAAATGGGATCGCTGGTATCATCTGATATGAATGAGGAAACACCTCATCATCGCTATCGCATTTTGGTAGTGCGTGGCCGGAGCATTGCATTGGTTGACGTTGTATGGTAAGCTTGGATAGCTTTGATGAACTCTTTACATTGCATTCTGCGTTTTGGCTCTTTCGCTTCTTTTCTGACAGCGTTCCTTTCTCCAGCTGCCAGCGTTTCCTTGATCAAGATGCATCACCAAGCTATTCCCTCCTCCTCCGCTTATTGCGATACTCGTCCTCACTCGTAGGTATTCTGAAGTCTTCCTTCCTCTTGATGCCTTCGCTGTTTCCTTCCACGGCCAAAGTCGTCTCCACCGGCCCAACTGTCACGACCGGCTCATCCGCCTCCATCTTCTCAATCGCTAGGATCTCCTCTTTCTTCAACATCTCCTCCTTATCCCTGATCTTCTTGATTTCCCCCTCATCCAGCAGGTCCTCATCCCTCAACATCTCCTCGTCCTCAAGATAGTCGTCCGGCTCCGGCGTATTACCCACCACCGTCTCGAAAACCACCTGAAAACTCCCTTCTTTGACGAACCGCGAATCAACAAGCCGATCCCACTCCTGCGCGACGTATCTGTACTTGTCTTTCGTACTCAACCTAGGATTCACATGCACCACTCCCCTCGACACCGCCAGTAAGATGGGATCCTGGTACGACAATAATTGCGGATGGTCCTTCAACATGCCCTTTATGGCGTCCCAGGCTGTCTCGTATATCGCAGTCCGTGTACCCGTATATTTCCCTTCAAGACCAAGATACCACGAGTCATCCGTCCAGCTAGGCCAGTAGTCTCGCACAGCCCCGGTCTTCCCTTTGCGCAGGCGCTCGAGGAAGCCAGATGCTGGAAACGCGTCGCGTGACGTGCGGACGCCTGTTGGAGGCAAGACACGGGTTGGTGTGTCTAGTGACGACCCGTACACGAACGCGAGACCGGAGTCTTTCCAAGCGCGGTCGAACGCCGGTTTGACAATCTCATCGTGCCAGATTTTGAGGAATTCGGTGTCGATACACGGGACCATGCTTGCGTGGGGAAAGATGACGAAGAGGTGCGGACACGACCCCATTCCCTCTGTCATCTTGTCTTGACTGGGTGTTGTGCTTCCGAACAGCAACGCGCATTGTACGTCTCGAGCTGAGACTGAGTGCCCGTGGAGGGACAGGTAGGCGGCGATGCGGTGCGTGTCGGCTTCGTCGATTGGGTTCACGGATTTCAGGTTCAGTGTGTGGGGGATCCATGGGGTTTGCTCCCAGGTTAGGCGTTTGGCGAAGGCGAGGGAGGTGGGGAGGCAGAAGGAGAGGGCGCTGTAGCATTGTTCGGGGTTTACGGTGGGGGACAGGGCGGAAAGGCCGGGAATGGATCGCTCGTGTGTGGAGGACATGGTGGTGTTGGAGTTGATGAGGTCCAGATGGACGAACGGCTACGCAGGAGGGGTTTTGTTAAAAACGTTTCGATAGAAAGTTTCGGACTATGGGGTAGGCGTGAGAAGTGACTAGAGCATTGTGGGTATGTATGTTTTGCCTGGAGACGTAGTGAATGGTGTAGAGGTTACTAGCCGATGACGCACATGTTCTTCAAGATTTGAGACAGCTGAGTGAAATAGTTTTGTGCTTGCATGTTCTATCAGAATCGCCATCCGCCAGAATTGCGCTGGAAGGCAATAGCAGAGAATCTTGCATAACAAATAGCCTCTCGAATAACTCGCTATATCACTTTTTGAAGTGTCAAGAATGACAGAGTGTTGAATCAACGACCGGGCTGCGTACAATGGATGGAAACTAGTGTAGCTCACATCTCAACAAAGATATTTCTCAGCTCCCGTATACTTAGTAAGAATAATTAAAGGCCGTGGCAGTGGAGAGAAGCGACTCTCAAAAAGATTTTCCTGGTGTACGTGGTGCGACGCAAGAAGCTCGATCATTCCTCGAAAGGTACTGGGAACGTGTTTGAGATTGATCTAGGCTGTGAGCCTTGCTGTAGAAGCTGATACATCTCGACTTGAAGACATTGTGACTGAAGGATACAGCGCCTTGATTCTGATGAGACTTCGAGACTTAATGGATGCTTCGTAGAGTAAAAGACCTCAGCGTTTGAGAGTGGACTGATGAGCTAGACGAGCTTGAGGTTAATTGACAATCGCGACCTTGCTGCACAAGTTCCGAGAGATGGGTTCCTGGATACATGCGCCATTTGGAAATTGGACTATACTGGCTATGTTGATGGCTCGTTGCTATATTGCATGACTTGTATGCAGAGCGCTTGCCTGCAGATCTGAGTCAGCGTGGAAGAATGCCAAGATGGCTGCCTGGATGTCAGCACTAAAGATCATCCTAGTACTACATCTTAAGTACACTGCTGCGCGCTTTTCGACACGACAAACCTCATTTTTCTTACACTCCATTGAGATGTCTTATTGTTCGTGGAAGAATCATGGAGGTGGGCGTTGCATCGACCGGAAACCAGCCTAACGGAATCCCGGGACTCGGCAGCTTATCTTCGCGCACCACGGCGACACTGCGGGCCTGACTGCCGCATTCTGGTCCACGACGCCGCTGCTCGCGGGAACGCCGTCCACATCTGCGTGCTTCAATCCACCAAGGCTTCATCTTGTGATGGACAAGCACGACCTAGCGGGCGCCACCCCCACTTGGCAACGCTTATCGTCGCATTCTCGAGGACAACGCCAAACGACGAGCGCCCCAATCGCACGAGACAGGATCGTCTGTCGCACGAACGCCGAGGAAACTTCCCTAAATTGCATTGCAATTGTTCGGCGACACCAGGTCTGCCCGCGATTGGCTTGTCGCGCGGTCATAAGCACGGCGAATGCTCTTCCGGGCGCATTCGATATCGTGTCTGCGGATGATGCCATTCAACCTGGTGGCGACACCATTCCGTTGTTTACCTAGGTATCGGTCGCTATCAGCCTGCCGTTGCAACAGGGTGCCAGGCCATCCCCTTTGGAACGGCATCTCCGACACGGGATGGCACGACCTCGTTATCCCCGCAGTTTCCTGCCCAATATACGGTTGCAGGCTTCGTTTCTGATATGCCGGGTGTTCTAGAATACGAAGGGAAGAAGTGATAGGACCCACGGGTTGCACAGTTAGGTTACCTGCCGTGCCACCAACATCGCCTTGCATGATCTTTAGATACCCTTCTGTATTCGGCCGCTTCCTGACATGGGACACCTGCCCTTTCAAACCTAGGAGTGGCAGTCCTATCGCTCCTGCAACAGGGGCCTTATCTGACGTGCTATTGCGCGCAACCTCGCCGCAATCACACAGGTGAAGGCTACGATAACGCGTTTGCACTAGAACACGTGAGCAGTTGTATATTTGAGTAACAGTACTCCCCGCTCGGACAATGAACCAAACCACTACCGCGCGCAACCATGGCAGCTCCTCTTGGTGACGTGATGGTTATGGGCCGCCCCGACGGCGTCGAGGGCAAGGTCGTCAATCTCCCCAGCCACCAGGCTATCAACGACTTCAGCGAAAAGAAGCATGCTGCCCACGACGGAGACATCGACATCAAAGGCCCTTTGGACCCTGAGATCAAGGCCGCTCTTCCCGAGTACGATGGCGATGGGCACGACAAGGACGGCGACGGTGAGGATCATGTCATCGTTACTGGCGCCGACGCAGCAGCCTACCTACTGCCTATGCGAGACGACTTTGTGCCTGCGTTGACTTTCCGGAGTCTGCTTCTGGCCACCGTCTTATCCGGATTCCAAGCCGTTGTGTACCAGATCTATCAGGTATGTCAACATCTCCACAGGCTGCGTACCTTGAATGCTGACGAAACCAGTTCAAACCCACTCTCGTCACAATCCAAGGAACCTTCATCGTCCTCATGGCCTACTTCCTCGGCAGGGGATGGGTCAAGCTACTGCCCCGCGGAGACAAGTTCGAGGCTCGGTGGAGGGAGAAGGGCGGAGTCGGCAAAGCGCCCATGTGGATTACAATCATGTCCTTCTTCAACCACGGCGAGTGGAACTTGAAAGAGCATGCCATCACATCCATCACCGCGACTTCCGCATCGATTGCTGCTCCCGCCAGTCAGGTCTTCGCTGCATCTGACCTCTTCTACGACATGCCTTTGAGCCCCGTCACAGTCATCTTCAGCACCATTTCTATTGGACTCTTTGGATACGGTATCTGCGGTATCATGCGTCCCATCTGCGTGTGGCACGTTGACTCGGTCTACTGGAGCAGTCTTCCTACAGTCAAGGTTCTCCAAGGTCTCCACTGGCAGAGCGTCAAGGATTCAAAGCCTCTCCGATGGTTCTGGATTGCCTTCTCTTGCATGTTCGTCTACGAGTTCTTCCCTGCATACATCTTCCCCTGGTTGAACTCTATCTCGATCCCCTGTCTGGCTGCCATGCATGCGACTGGAAATACGGCAGCTACGCTTACCAACCTCTTCGGTGGTGCCTCAAACAACGAGGGCCTTGGTTGGTTCAGCATTTCGCTTGACTGGCAATACGTAAGAAGGCGCTCCGAAACACTCATACTCTGCAGACACTAATCGCTATTACAGATCACTTCCTTCCAGTCCTCGCTTCCGCTCAAGCTCCAACTCCATCAAGCTGCCGGTTTCGTGTTCTGCTTTTTCATTATGCTTGGCATTTACTACGGCAATGCTTGGGGTTCGAAGGACCTGCCTTTCATGTCAACACGTCTCTTGACCCAGGAGGGCAAGCAGTACCCAAGCGAGAGCGTCTTCATCGATGGCATTCTGGATGAGAAGGCTCTCCTGCAATACGGTCTACCGAGGATTACTGGCACCTTCGCTTACGCCATGTTCATGGCCAATGCTGCGATCGGTGCCCTCATCGCCCACATCGTGCTCTTCTGGGGCGGCGACACAGTCCGAGCATTCAAGGATGCCAAAAAGGGCAAGTTCGACGATCCTCACCACGCGCACATGGCCAAGCACTACAAGGACGCACCACAGTGGTGGTACCTTGCCGTACTCGTCGTCAGTTTCGTGCTCGGTCTCGTCGTTGTCATCAAGGAGAACGTCACTCTCCCCGTTTGGGCCTACGTTATCGCACTGGTAATGGGCACGATCATCTCGCCCTTCAGCACCCTCCTCTACGCCCGCTTCGGTAACGGTATCGCAACCAACAACCTGTCCAAGGTCATTGCCGGACTGATCCTCCCCGGTCGCCCCATCGGTAACATGTACTTCGCCGCATGGTCGCACAACGTCATCAACAGCGCCGTGCAACTCAGCATGGACCTCAAACTAGGCGAATACCTCAAGATCCCGCCCCGCGTGATGTTCATGACACAAATTTACGGCACCGTCCTCGGCGGCTTCATCAACTACGCCGTCATGATCTCCATCGTAACTGGAAACAAGCACCTCCTCGCCGACACCGACGGTAACGCGTCGTGGTCTGGTGCAAACATTCAATCTTACAACACCAACGCCTCCACCTGGGCCCTCGCCGCCTACCTCTACAAGCAAGGAAAAGCGTACTCCATCGTCCCCTTCGGTCTCCTCATCGGCGCCGCTATCGTCCTCGCTCACCGGATCTTCGTTCGCTTCGTACCCAAGATCGGTAACTTCTCTCTTCGCGAGATCAACTTCCCCCAGTTCATTCAGTACGCTGGTTACATCCCTTACAACCAGAGTCAGACGTGCGTGCTTCTCAGCTGGACGATTGTGGGTTTCTTCACGCAGTTCTACCTCAGGAACTACCGTCCCCGCATCTTCAAGGACTACTCGTACCTCATCGCGGGTGCGTTTGATGGCGCGAGTTTGACTTGCTTGTTCATTTTGTCGTTTGCTGTGTTTGGAGCTGGAGGCCCGGCGATCCCTTTCCCGCAGTGGTGGGGTAACAACGTCGCTGGTAACTACGATTTGTGCCCTGTTGCGGAGTAGAGATGAAAGACGCTTTACAGACGGAGGTAGAGGCACGAAGTATGTAGTTCACTGTCGCTTTAGATACCATCCATAATTATCTCAGACTACTATGTTCAACATGCTATCTACATATCCCCCTCAGCTATTCTCTCTCTACCACTTTCCAACACACATTCTTCATCCCAACCTACCACGCAACAGGCACACCATCATACCTAAAAAACCTCCCACTATCCGCCTCCTTCAACCCCCCCACAACCTCCAACATACTCCCCACGCTAACACTCGCCTCAATCATCGCGCCCTCGCCCCCCATCCTCGTCTTCACCCACCCAGGATCCATACAAATCACCTTGACCCCCTGCTTCTTCAAATCCTTCGCCTGGTGCACCGTCAACATGTTCAACGCCGCTTTGCTCATACTATAAGTACAGCATTTAGTTATATCCGTCGCAACAGTCAGACTACCGAGCCCGGACGACATGTTCAGCACTGTAGCGCCGC